GCGCTATATAAATAAAGGTGACTTGACTTGACTTGACTTAAATCACCAAAGTTTACCCAGGTGGGACTTGAACCCCCAATCCCCAGCTCTGGAGGCTGATGCCTAATCCATTAGGCCACTGGACCACTTCGAAAGTGTGCTTTGTTTTGTCTTAACCTGAGAGAGCACATGCACCATCAGTCCAGCAGGATTTTTCATAGCTATGCGGCATTGATAGCATCATCCTGGAATTTATTGCAGTAATACAAATATCCTTTATGTATTTAATCCCATTTTATTAACCAATTTGCTGCTGACCTTCAGTGATCCAATTCAACCATACTAATAAGAAAAAATTACACGATAAACTAACATTTCTTCTTCTTTTTTCTTTTATTGCTAAAGAGTGTTGAACTTTCTTCTTCTGTGTTCTACTGTACAGACGTGATTTACATTTCCTTCAGCCCGAGGCTTTTGGTGTGAAAGGGCTTTTACATTTGCCAAAAATAGAACTTTTTATATTAAAAGCAAACAAGCAAGCCCAGCCCAGATTTAAAAAGTAACGTGTAACATTACTTTCAATAAAAAGTAACTAAGTACCGTAATGAGTTACTTTTTTAGGAAGTAAGGCAATATTGCTATGCATTACTTTTAAAAGTAACTTTCCCCAACACTGCTGTTACTTGACTTGGCATGAGTGAAATGTTGTTTTGTATCCCTGTAGTGCTGCGAAAGTGTTTGGCGCTCCCTGTTTGAGCAGGTTTGTCACACATCGCAGAAGACCACCGGCACCCATCCAAACTAAGCTGATCGTAAGTAACAGTCTGCTGAGGGTTTGTTGTTTGTTAGAAGGATTGTCATTAAAACAGTTTTTTTTTCCTTCCCCCCTAGTCTGTTGCTCTTCACCACACGCATCTAAATTCCTCAGATGATTTCCTTCCTCCCTGCTCCCAGCACAAGCGTGTTGCGAGCAGGAAGCCGTTCTACATGGACTCAAATAATCACGCTGCTCACAAGAACCGCAAACGCTCACAGAACCGCGGAGCTCTGGCTGAGGTCTCTTTCAATGATAGCGATGACCAGCAGCTCCCAAGTAAACGTCCCCTGCTCTCGAGCACCCCTTCCCTGATCTGCAGACAGCTCCAAAACCTACCAGAGCCCTCCATCAGTGAGATCTCCTCCCTCAGCTTTGATGAACTTCACCAACTTACAGAAAAATACAACAGCCTTCACAGTTTAAAGGATTTCAAAGCGTGCGACCACACTGCACAGGAGAAGACAAGCCACCAGCTCCCAAACCCAGGCATCTCCTCTGGAGAGAGAGTGATGGAGCAGAGGGAGAGAGAGCAGGATGCAGTTGTGGAAGAGAGAGCTGGGGATGGAGAGAGGGATCAGAGAAAAGAAGGATGTGCAAAGGCCACGTCTGCGCAGGCAAGCACAGGTTTTGGATGTGTGCCACCACAGTCACGCCTAGAATCTTTAGCAGATGAGCTAAAAGAGAGGTGAGTAATGGCTCTTTATTTACAAAGAGAAAAAACTTACATTTGTGATTTATGAATGTTTTTTTATTATTTTTTTTATTAGAGATTTTTTGGCAGCAAACGTTTACATGGCCAGTCAAAAGTTTGGAAACAGTTTGAGTTTTCCTCAGCAATTTATCACCTAACAGTTACCTAAAGTTGTCGATATGTCTTGAGTAGATCTTTAGAGAGGAGCATATAGCAAAAATTGTAAATATGTGCACTACATATGCTTTGGTTTTTTTGTTACTCTGTCATTTAATCACCCTCATGTTGTTCCAGAACTGCATGCATTTTGTTGTTCTGTGGAAAACAAAAGAAGATATTTAAAAAAAATAAAATAAAATACAATCAAAGTCAGTTAGGTCAATTGACCCTTCGCAAAGACCCGCCCCCCTTAGTTACTGTTGCTATGTCCAACAAGCCATGGCGCTCTCACGCCACACATCATGTTCTCATATACATCGTGGAGGACGCACCGACAGACAAGACAGAGCAGGTTATTTCTCATATGAAACAAATTTTAAATTTTCTCATTTTTTAAAAAAGAAATTAAAACAATAAATAGCTTTTAGTTGCACTTTAATGTGTCGTGACTCGTGACAGATCGCTGTAGCGTTTCATGAACCGATCATCTCTTCCTCTTTACTAGTTATAGCTCCAAATAAACATGAATGAACGTCAGAAGGTATCTTGTTTCAACCACAGAAAGACATCAGTTTTTCAAGTTCAAGTCTGATGAACTTTGATTAGTCAGATCGCCTGTCAATCAAACTCCCGGTGAAGGGTCAGTTGTTGTTTTGGACTAGTTTGTACTATCCCTTCTGTTATTCTGTTATGTTATTGATGCATTGGTATTTGTTTGAGCAGTCAAAAAATGTCAATTTTCTTAAAAACAAGGTTTTATGACAAAATAAATAAATCTCAGCATGTAATCAACATATTTATGTATGTGTAGAAGTCCACTTTCTGTCTAACATCAGCATGGCAGATGGTGAAGGAATAGAAAATCAACAAATTTCCAGCATACATACAGTTTAAAAAGTATCCCAGGGTGCACCTCATGAAATCCTGGAATCCCTGCAAAGTGTGGCTGCTTATTTGGAAAACCAAATTCCTTTATTCCTGTTTTGTCATTTCATTATTTTGATGTTCTTACTGTTTTTTTTTTCTGAATGTGGAAAATTGTATTAATAGAGAATGCGTAGATATGTTCAAACCTTTGACTGATGGTGTAAAAACTGTCAAATGATTTGATTTGAATAAGTTTGTTGTTTTGTCTGATATATAGGTGTCGCACAGTGGATGTAGCCGTAATGCTCGAGAAGATAGACGTCTCAGACTATCTTTTGGTGCAAAGCTGCAGCAGCGAACGGGAAGAGAAAATTGCCTTGGTGTCCTCCATGGCAGCAACTAACAGCCAAACCTATATAACTTTACCGTCCAGCTGCTCTTCACTATCCAAACCATCACTCTATCTCTCCTCCTCGAAGTCTCTTTCCACTTCTCCTCTTGCTGGAGCAGTTTGCTCAAAGCAGTCCCTTATTGGGCGTCTCAAGGCTGAATGTCTGTTATCTTCCCTCGCTGTCAGCCTTCCACGTCTAGACTTGGATGCGTATCCTTCTGTCCACCAGGGGGCAACAAAAGCACCCTGCCCCGTCTCCCCATACACCTGCCACAGGGACAGTGCCACCTGTCCACCTCTTAAAGAGACGGGGGATGCTATCCCAACCAGCTCAATAAATCCTAAGACTCCCAGTAATGCTGAAGCAGTTGTTCAACACTTGTCTGCATCATTCCAACCACCTCCGGTCTCTCCGCCTGCAGCTCATAGCAAAACACGACCACCTGCTGCGCCTAAAGAATGCACAGGTGCTGGTACTGGCACCGGTCGTAAAGTTTGTGTGAGTGGACTTAATGTCAGCCGCTGGTCAAAGAGGGGTGCTGGAGAATTCAATGAAAGGCGGAGGAAAAAGGAAGGATGGACAAAGGCTGTGTCAGCAGACTACAGTTCCTGGGGCAGCATGTCGTCTGCTGGAGCAGACACCTATGCAGGGGTCAGTTGTCATTGTCAAGCATATATTCATGTGCTTATTTGTGACCCTGGACCACAAAAGCAGTCATACGGGTAAATTTTGCGAAATTGAGATTTATACACCATCTGAAAGCTGAATAAATAAGCTTTCATTGATGTATTGTTTGTTAGGATAGGACAATATTTGGCTGAGATGCAACTATTTGAAAATCTGGAATCTGAGGGTGCAAAAAAAATCTAAATATTGAGAAAATAATCTTTAAAGTTGTCCAAATGAAGTTCTTAGCAATGCATATTACTAATCAAACATTAAGTTTTGATATATTTATGGTAGGAAATTTACAAAATATCTTCATGGAACATGATCTTTACTTAATATCCTAATGATTTTTGGCATAAAAGAAAAATCTATAATTTTGACCCATACAATGTATTTTTGGCTATTGAGACTTAAGACTGGTTTTGTGCTCCAGGGTCACATATATACATAAATACATACATACATGTATATTATATATATATATATGTATGTGTGTGTGTGTGTGTGTGTGTATATATATTATATATATATGTATATATATATATATATGTATGTGTGTGTGTGTATATATATTATATATAATAATTTTTTTTTTTTTTACTATTAAATAAACATTTCTTTAATCATCTCAGACCAACAACCCAGCAATATGCTTAAATTCTTTTGAGATTCATTGTTTTTATTAGTATAGGTGTGTAGAATGTGAAGTCATTAATGAAGATTGGCTGTGTGCTTACAGCCCCCTTTGGACATTTTTAGCCTGTGTTTAGTAAATGAAATCTAAAAGTGGGTCTTTTTTTTTACTTTAGGCAATTTTGACTTCAAATTCTGAAGAATTTATTTTTAGAGAAAAGAAAAATGCCACTTATTTGTTAAAAAAAGGATTGTAACTGATTTGAATTAAATTACAGGACTGAATGTTTAATCCTCTTGCTTTTTTCCGTGCGTTCATGCAGGAATCAACATGTGGCTGGCTGCAGGGCACCAGTGGGATCGGTCTGGCTGTAACGCCTCTCAGAATGGAGCAAATTAATCTGTCTTCCATCCTCACCAACTTTACTCCCGACACACTCACAACACACTCCTGGGGCCGACTAAAGGCAGCGCTGTCCCTGCATAAGAAGAAGACTGGTATGTGTTTGCAGCAGGCCAGATAAAGCCAGTAGTCTTCGATTCATACACCAAACTACTCATAGTTTGCATAGCTAAGAGCTTAAGGGGCATTTGACATGTTACATGACGGGTGGCAAGCTTTCAGTGCCACCTTTGTTTTGATACCTCTCGCCTTCTGAAAACTTAAAAGTGTGTAAAATGGCCTTAAGTGCTTGTCACTTTTCCTAAAAGCACTCGTTATGTATAAATAGCTGTGTGTGTGTGTGTGTGTGTGTGTGTACCACAGCATTTGCCACTCCTCGCCGCTTGGTTCAGTCTCATCTGAAGTCCCCAGGTTCTGTATTTCCAACTGACAACAGTCCAGACCTGTTTGCTTCCCCTTTCTGCACACCGTCCAGATTCACACCTTCACGCTTGCTCCGGTCCACCATGAACACCCCCCTGGTAAGGACACAGAGAGATTTATGTGTTCACTCCTCAACACTTTTTATGTTTTTTTTCAATATTACAGAAAAAACTGTAATATTGTGAATATTATTACAATTTAAAATAACGGGTTAATATTTTAGCACACCGTCCAGATTCACACCTTCACGCTTGCTCCGGTCCACCATGAACACCCCCCTGGTAAGGACACAGAGAGATTTATGTGTTCACTCCTCAACACTTTTTATGTTTTCAATATTACAGAAAAAACTGTAATATTGTGAATATTATTACAATTTAAAATAACGGGTTAATATTTTTATACACTTTAAAATATAATTTATTCCTTTGCTCAAAGCTGTATTTTCAGCATCATTACTCCAGTCTTCAGTGTCACATGATCTTCAGAAATCACTCTAATATGCTGATTTATCATCAATGTTGGAAACAGTTGTGCTGCTTTATATATATACAGTATATATATTTTGGAACATGTGATACTTTTTTTCAGGATTCTTTGATAAGTAAAAAAGTTAAAAAGAACGGCTTTTATTCAAAGTAGAATACTTTTGTAACAATATAAGTCTGTACTATAATTTTTTTTTAATCAATTTAATACATCCTTGCTGAATAAAAATATTTTTCAAGAAAAAAAAGTTATATTGTGAATATTATTACAATTTAAAATAACGGGTTAATATTTTTATACACTTTAAAATATAATTTATTCCTTTGCTCAAAGCTGTATTTTCAGCATCATTACTCCAGTCTTCAGTGTCACATGATCTTCAGAAATCACTCTAATATGCTGATTTATCATCAATGTTGGAAACAGTTGTGCTGCTTTATATATATACAGTATATATATTTTGGAACATGTGATACTTTTTTTCAGGATTCTTTGATAAGTAAAAAAGTTAAAAAGAACGGCTTTTATTCAAAGTAGAATACTTTTGTAACAATATAAGTCTGTACTATAATTTTTTTTAAATCAATTTAATACATCCTTGCTGAATAAAAATATTTTTCAAGAAAAAAAAGTACTGACCCCAAACTTTGTTACAAAATATTTCTATTTTGAATAAACGCTGTTCTTTTTAAATTAATGTAGTCTACAGTAAAATTGTATTGTAATATGGTAATACATATAATAGAACTTTGTTTGTTTTTTGTGTCTCCAGAGTTAGTACTCACTAAGATAATTCCTGTCTTTTTGTTGTAGATATCATTACAGATCATCTCTATGATTTCTCTTTGTCTCTGTTCTCCTGTTTTTGATTGTCCTCTTTTGTCTGTGGTGTAGGCTTCATATGATGAAGATATCAGTGATGCAGAAAAAGTGTACCAGGAATGCCAGCAAAGCGGCCCACTTTCCTTCAGTGACTGTATCCCTCCAGCTCGCATGAAGCACTGCAGCAAGATCGGTGAAGGGACGTTTGGAGAGGTCTTCTCAACCATAAACGATTCCAACGAGACCGTTGCTCTCAAAGTATGTGCACATTTTAATCACATGTGATTTTATTGTAGAAGCATACCAACACATCACAGGGCGACTTAATGCAAACACATGTAGTATTTCAAATTGCATGCATTTACATGTATATCTATATATGCAAGTAGAAGTCACTGAGCAGAATTATTTCTTAAAATTACAAAAATGTCTAAATGTGATTTCTATAGATCATCCCAGTAGAAGGCAGTCAGCAGGTCAATGGTGAACAACAGAAAACCTTTGGCGAAATCCTCCATGAAATCATCATTTCCAAGTAGGATGTCTGGCATAGCTCAGAAAATCTGTTGTACATTTAAATGCAATGGTGTGTTAATATTCATACACGTCTTTAATGTTCCTACAGAGAGCTGAGCTGCCTTAACATGAAGGAGATCAACAAGACAGACGGTTTCATTGGGCTCAACAAGTATGCTGCTTTTATTTCTTTGCTAACTTGAGTGTAAAATGAGGTGATTTGTGTGTTCGAGTTATAAGAATGCACACACAAAGAAAGTAGCTTTCAATCATTTTCCTTTGTGAGTGAACTATTCCTTTACCTTCTAGTCTACATTGTGTTCGTGGACGTTATCCGGAAGCTCTGCTCAAAGCCTGGGACAAGTTTGACCGTCAGAAGGGATCTGAGAATGACAGACCTGGTGAGCTAAACGAATAACAATTTATATGCCTTTTAATTGTATTATGATGTTTAATGTCTATTAATGAACTCATTCTATTGGCACAGACTTCTTTGATGACGAGCAGCTGTTTTTAATCCTGGAGTTTGAGTTTGGAGGGAGTGATCTAGAGAACATTAACGGAAAGGTACCTTGAACACACAAGAGTTTCCCTTTGTAGACAGGTTGGGCTATTCTAGTCATTTCTGTGAAGACTGAACTCTATTGAACACCTCTGAGGTGAATTCAGGAACAACGGCCTACATCGGTGCCTGACCTCACTGATGCTTTTGTCATTGTATGGTTTAAAATCAATCTAATTCTTACGTTTTCCAGACCCATAAGACTTCAGTTCATCTTTGAAACACAAATGAAAATATTTGAATGAAACCTGAGAGATTTAAGTCTCCACTGAAAGTCTGTTCCACCAAAACTGTGAAAAGTTCTTTAAGAGATTGTGTAAGAGTCCATATGTGACCCTGGAGCACAAAAGCAGTGTTAAGTCGCTGGGGGATATTTGTAGCAATAGCCAACAATACATTGTATGGGTCAAAATTATTGATTTTTCTTTTATGCCAAAAATCATTAGGATATTAAGTAAAGATCATGTTCCATGAAGATATTTAGTAAAATTTCCTACTGTAAATATATCAAAACTTAATGTTTGATAAGTAATATGCATTGCTAAGAACTTAATTTGGACAACTTTAAAGATGATTTTCTCAATATTTAGATTTTTTTGCACCCTCAGATTCCAGATTCTCAAATAGTTGTATCTCGGCCAAATAGTGTCCTATCATCATAAACCATACATCAATGGAAACTTATTTAGTCAGCTTTCAGATGATGTATAAATCTCAATTTCGAAAAATGGACCCTTATGACTGGTTTTGTGCTCCAGGGTCACATATTTGATGTGCTCTGTATATGTGCATTGATTGATGTTTTTATGTGAATAACTGCCTTGATTAAATCTAAGTCATCGTGTCTCATCAGAAGACTTCTAAATTCATTTGGATTTCTTTTACAATGTCTTTATGAACTTTTGTGGAATGGGCTTTTGATGGAAATCTCAGGTTTAATTAAATTCAAGTTCATTCTCGAAACACAATGACATGAGTAATTGATGACAGAAATGTCATTTTTTCTAGGTGAGCTATTCCTTTATAAGTCACTGTAATAGCTAAACCTGTTAATTAGAAGTGGGGGTGTCCTTATACTTTGAGCTCTAGTGTATCATTACCACAAACTTAAGAGTTTGTGTATCGTTGCAGCTGTCTTCCCTGGTCCAGGCCAAGAGTGTTCTACATCAAGTCACTGCAGCTTTGGCTGTAGCTGAGCAAGCACTGTGCTTCGAACACAGGTAACATGTTGTAAATGTACCACGTGCGTAAAAACTCTTCTGTACTGTACATGCTGTCAGTGTAAGCTGATGTTAGTGTTGTGTGCTGTTGTTTCAGAGATCTTCATTGGGGAAACATCCTGGTGAAGAACATCAAGCACAAGCACAATGAGTTCATTCTGAATGGAACAGTTCATTCCATCGAGACACGAGGGGTTCACGTCAACATTATCGACTACTCGCTCTCACGCCTGGAGATCGGTCAGTCTGAGAACAAACTCTTAAGGTCAAATTTCGTTCGACCTCACATTGTCAATCACGTTTACACACTGCCTTCAAAATTTTCATCCGTCAAAAAAAAAAATCGGATCGGGTTCGATTTTTTTTCTCTCCCGTTTTTCGCATCCGTTGCAAGCATTTTGAGAGCCGTTTTGACAGTTCAGAGCCACCGTACAAGCAAATGCTAAAATCCAGAATGGCGATTGTCAAGTTCATCCACTTCGTCTCGCAGCACAGAGCACTGTAAAGATCCTTGCACACTGAGTTCTCAGAAATTGGTGGTCTTCTTTTTAATATGTGGCTCTAGTACCGCTAGCATCAAACTGAGCCACTGACATCTTGAAGTAAACTTTGAATCGCCCGGGATAATCCCGCTGCTCCTGAGGGGGAACTCTCCGTCCTCTCTATATCTCAGGATTGGATTGACCCAATATTTCCTCTCTTTAAGAAGCGAGAAGACAACAAAATCATCCTCACTGCTTGAAGACTCCATTTAGTGTTGTTTTGCTCTTTTTGGTGCAAATAGTTTGTTGTCCCATGACTGCTGTTATGCAAATCCCATGTTTAATAACTATTAGAGATGTTGTTATCCCATTTAAAATATATTTTGCATGCCTCACTCTTAAAATGGTGATTTTTTTTTTTGGGCCTGACTTCAGAGTCCTTCCTTGACCTTCTTAGCTACATCTAACAATTCAAATCATACAACATCATAATATTGACAGTCTGTAGAATTTATTATAGCAAACTTACATTTTCTTATGAAAGCTGTTGATTTGCATTTGTGAAGCTCGACTATTCCAAGAAAAAAATAAACTGAAATTTCCCATAAATTAACTACTAATCAATATTTGGTCCCAAACTAGCCAAGTTCACTGATTTTCAACCAGCTTTTCTGTGAAATGTGAACTTTGTTACGTTCACATATACTATCCACCGTAACAAATACAAAGCTGGTTAAAAATGGACAGTTGTCCTTTTAAGAGTTTCATTTAGGTTAAATTTGCAACCCTGTTACCATGTTTTGTTCAAATTAATATGACTTTTATTTAATATGGATGTCTATAAACAATCACATGTTTGTTTTAAACTATATTGAGATGTTTTGTTAAAAATAGTAAAAAGAGTTGAACAAATTGTTAACCTGATACAAATGAATGGGAAAGTATTCTGTTTGAAACCACTGTTTTTGTCTCTCTCTCTCTGTCTCTCTCTCTCTCTCTCTCCCTGTCTCTCTATCTCTCTCTCTCTCTCTCTCTCTCTCTCTCTCTCTCTCTCACTGTCTCTCT